ACATACCATATAGTTATTGCATGCGCTGTATGAATATATGATATAGCAGCACTAATTGGTAGAATTTATATCAATCGCTTGAAATAACTCCTAAATACTTGAAATGCCCTTTACACTAAATTCTAACTTTATACTTTTATTATTGGACAATTTTTCATTGTCTAAAATACTCGATATACTTGATTCTATATTTGATTCTACAATATTTTGTATCTTATATTGTATTCGAAAACTGAAACTAGGTTTTTAGTTGAATGTCATTTATTTTAAGTTTCGTATACAATTTCATTAATTATTTTCTTGCAAATGTTCTAAAAACAACATTCATGTGTTAAAGCCACGATAAAAAGTGTCGTTTACGTGTGAACCTCTCTTTAACCGGTGCGAAAGCCTAACAATTGGAAACCAGCATTGCGTTCAGTCAGCTGACCTGTCTTGTGATAGCAGCCAGGCTCTACTGTGAAGCTTGACTCGCTGTCTTAGGGTGGGCTTACCTCGATACGTTTCACGTCTCGTAAGTTCCTTTATTGTCATCTATTTCACTAACTATAGTTTAGCATCCGCCCTTTGATTCATTATATAGCCAGAACGATTCTAACGATTTACGTACTGTACAGAGGATACTGGAGATTTTTGCGAGAAAAGACTGGCGCGTATAATATCGATCGTGCCAGTTTGAATGCGCCATCGTTTTTTCGTTCACCGCTTGAATTTGTGTATTTCGACTCGCTGTCCACGGAATCAACTATTTCATACTGAATTACGCGAAGAACGGATCAACCCGCGACCGATCGACGACAAATAATATCATTTGGAAGTGGACGTTCTGTCGAGGGAGCAGACGTCTCCTCGCGGGCTTAAAGAGGGCTACGCCTACTTTTTAAACGAGACTGCTCACGTGAATTTTCCGATGAATGGATGCGTTTGTCGACTTCGACTTTCTTAGCGAATTCGGGCTTGATTGACTTAGACCGCGTATAAGAGTACCCGATTCGAGGTGCATTGTTACGATCGCCGTCTTTTATGCTCGTTTTGTTGTATTTTCGTCCGTATTGTATTGTTGATCAGATGTCAGACTGAAGTGGCATCAAGTCGATCTCGTAATTACACCCTATACATTGACTATTATGATTTTCATGAGTTTTGTTTGTGTCGAAACTCACATTTCCCTGGAATGATTAACAATATGTATTTTTTATTATATTGTGTTAATATTTTTATAGAAAATATATATTTAGAAATTATGATATTCATTGGTTTTATCTGAATAACAATCATAATGACTAGCCACGGGCTGCAAAAAATTAGTAATGAAGAAAGGGAGTCCAAATTCGGTTATGTATATGCCGTATCTGGTCCTGGTTAGTATAGAATATGTATTTTTCTTACTTAGTAATGTTTCTAGTTCCCATGTGTGATTAGAATTTTTATTCCTTTATAGTCGTGACTGCTGAGAAAATGTCAGGATCAGCTATGTATGAATTGGTCAGAGTAGGATATTATGAGTTGGTAGGAGAAATTATTCGTCTAGAAGGTGACATGGCAACTATTCAGGTAAAATAAAATTGTTCTGTAATTAGAAACTGATCATATCAACTCTACAATATTATTATATTATTTATATACCTACTTTGTTGTTATATAGGTATATGAAGAAACCAGTGGTGTAACTGTAGGTGATCCTGTCCTTCGTACTGGAAAACCATTATCAGTAGAACTTGGACCTGGTATTCTTGGCAGTATCTTTGATGGTATTCAGAGACCATTGAAAGATATCAATGAGCTTACAGGCTCTATTTATATACCAAAAGGTATTAATGTACCTGCACTTTCAAGAACTATATCATGGGAATATAATCCATCTAATATAAAAAATGGCAGCCACATCACTGGTGGAGATTTGTTTGGCATAGTTTATGAGAATACATTAGTGAAGCATAAAATGATTTTGCCACCAAAAAGTAAGGGAACTGTCACTTATGTTGCACCTGCTGGCAATTACACAGTTAATGTAAGTTATATGTCGGTATATAAGCAACTTAATTACTGCAATGATGTATTTAATATGTATTTTTTGTTTTCCAGGATATTGTTTTGGAGACAGAATTTGATGGTGAGAGGCAGAAGTATACTATGCTTCAGGTATGAAAATAACTCTTTCCTTTTAATATTGATGTGAACATAATGCTATAAACTTATGCGTGTAGGTGTGGCCTGTACGTCAACCTCGTCCAGTTACCGAAAAATTACCAGCTAATCATCCATTGCTTACTGGTCAACGAGTCTTGGACTCTCTGTTCCCGTAAGAACTTAACTAATTACTGTCACATACAATTTATAATGACCGACATAAATACTGGTAACATTTGTTAAATTACAGGTGTGTCCAAGGTGGTACAACGGCAATTCCAGGAGCTTTCGGTTGCGGTAAAACTGTAATTTCGCAAGCTTTGTCCAAGTATTCGAACTCTGATGTTATTGTTTACGTCGGTTGCGGAGAGCGTGGTAACGAAATGTCTGAAGTTCTGCGTGAATTCCCTGAGTTAACAGTAGAAATTGACGGAATTACCGAAACTATTATGAAACGTACAGCTTTGGTTGCTAATACCTCAAACATGCCTGTAGCTGCTCGTGAAGCATCTATTTACACTGGTGCGTATATAGTTGCAACTGAGGAAAGCACAAATTCTATATATTTCATTTTTTGTAGTCTATGATATAAAAATATCATGAACATTTTTAAATATTGTAGGTATTACACTATCAGAATACTTCAGAGATATGGGTTACAACGTATCCATGATGGCCGATTCAACATCTCGTTGGGCAGAAGCTCTTCGTGAAATTTCTGGTCGATTGGCTGAAATGCCTGCCGATTCCGGTTATCCTGCCTATCTTGGAGCTCGTTTGGCTAGTTTCTATGAACGTGCGGGAAGGTAGTTCTTTCTTGTTCAGTAATTTATTTTTCTTAGAAGAATCATGAAATTAATTTGTTGATCGCATCATAAATATTAATCGGTACTTTTAGAGTGAAATGCTTGGGTAATCCTGATCGTGAAGGTTCTGTCAGCATAGTAGGTGCTGTATCACCACCTGGTGGTGACTTCTCCGATCCTGTTACTAGCGCAACCCTTGGTATCGTGCAGGTATTGATGAAATTAATGTTTCATAAATATACATATACACATATATATTTTTTTTATTAAAAATACTCTTCAAGTTATGTATTATTATGCATGTTTTTCTTTTAGGTATTCTGGGGTCTCGATAAGAAACTTGCACAACGCAAACACTTCCCATCCATTAACTGGCTTATTTCGTACAGTAAATATCTTCGAGCTTTGGATGATTTCTATGACAAAAATTACACAGAATTCGTTCCCCTGAGAACAAAAGTAAAAGAAATTTTACAGGAAGAAGAAGATTTGTCTGAAATTGTACAGTTAGTCGGTAAAGCTTCACTTGCCGAGACGGATAAAATCACTTTGGAAGTTGCGAAACTTCTGAAAGATGATTTCTTGCAACAAAACAGGTATAAACTTTTTTTCCAACTTTGTCATGTTCAAAGTGATGTATATTCGATGTTAATTTCTGTTTTCTTTGACATAGTTTTTCAGCGTACGATCGTTTCTGTCCATTCTACAAAACTGTGGGAATGCTGCGGAACATGATCGCATTCTACGATATGGCGAGGCATGCAGTTGAGTCTACCGCACAATCAGACAATAAAATAACGTGGAACGTTATTAGAGATAGCATGGGTAACATTCTTTACCAATTAACTTCCATGAAATTCAAGGTAAGTATTATTTACTCGAATGACTTTATTCATACGCTTTAAAAATAATACAAGTTATGTGTTTTTGTTCTTTTTAGGATCCAGTGAAAGACGGTGAAGCAAAAATCAAAGCCGATTTCGACCAGTTACACGAAGATATTCAACAGGCATTTAGAAACCTAGAAGATTAATTATCAGAAGCAGTCATACAAACATAAGTTCTCTGCGTTCAGGAACCTTATGCTGGTCATTTAAGGATGTCCTGGACCTACTGGAGAGAAGTATAACAAGCATTCATAATCACGTATCGCACATTAAACTGTTACTATATTAGTTTCAATAATTACGAGATAAAGTAGGACGTCCTTAAATGCATTTCCAGCGTATACAAATGTATGTTAAGTACTACAAGTTACTTCAAGTCCTTGGATCGAAGTTATGTGTAATTATATAGTTGGAATTGTTGGGAAAGGAACGAGCTGCTTGGAGAATCAAGTTTCCGGTTATTTTGTTTGCCGCAAATGGAACTTAATTATGGAGGGATTTATGCAAAGGAACTTTTGTATGTATGTAAAATGAGAGCAAAAGCATCGTAAGAAGCTTTCCATTCATCCGTGCTTGTTTCCGTAAAACAAAAAAAATTGCTTCGTATTTTGTTGTACCATGGGATGATATGGTAGCTTTTTACAAGAAATGGAACTTCAATTAAAGAGTATTAAATATTGTATTATAATAGTATATTATGTAAACACGTTAAGCGACGAGTGCAGACGTTACATAAAAGTAGATGTTATTTTAAACGTTAAAACGTTGAGATATGGTCTGAAAGTTTAAAGAAAAAGTGTCAAAATGTTAAAACTGTTGAGGTGCAGGGTCTTTTATAGTTAAAAAGAAAGTATAAAGATGCATCGTAAACAGTGTTCCAGTAACTTCGACATTTCCATTGTATCATATGTAAAAAAAAAAAAAAGAGAATAAACACTATGCATAAAAAGATCACACAGAACGTTTATTCGGGGATTGAATAAAAATTAACAGAGTTTCAGTAAATTGACGCCTTTGTAGCATTCAGAAACTTGGGTTGAAAAAAATATGTTTATTACTATATGCGTACGTATATGCATATGTACACATACGTGTATATATACATATATAAATATACATACACATTGATACGTGTACGATTAATCTATTTTACATTCTCAGTCCCTAAATCATTTTTACGAAGTACCTACTCTACACTCGTGAAAACAGTATTAAAAATAAAAAATATTTAACGATCTCTTGTAAAGATTCAGTCGTCATATTTTGCATCGCAATTTTTTCGTTCATGTTGCAACAAAACATTATTTCCTTTCCTTTTGTTAGAGAAATCAACTTTAGCGACATTATCTAAAATTGCATATTCGAAAGTTCCAAATCAATGCTCAATATTCACAGCCTTAGCTCATTCAACGTACATGAGGTAATTCGATCCAATGTACATGTATACGTAGAAATAAAATCTTTTTTCCAATAGGTCCTATGAGGAATAGTCGCAACTTCAATAACATCATTAGCAATTGTTACTTGTAAATACATTATCAAGATCGTAACGCTCAAAGATATTTAATCAGAAATTTCATAAGCATTAATAAGCAATATATAATTTAGGCATAAAAAGAATGACATTTCCCATTATTAGAAAATTGTTAGCAGCGTAAAAATATACGCATATATGGTAGTTATAACCATGTCATTAGGACCATATACTTTAAATAATATAATTTCAATATGACGAAATTTGATGCAGCTCCCGTGAAACAAAAAATTATAAGAGTAAATACTTCTTCTGACTATCCAGTCAGCTTTCATATATCCTAATATTTACAAAAAGAAGCACTGTATTACAAACTAACAATCTTTTAAGGACTCAAATGAACAACATCGACATTTGTTCCTGTAGAGGATGATATTTGTGATCTAAGCTGAAGATTCTCACGTTTCAACTGTGTAACAAGCTGCTTTAATGTAGTTATTTCTTGCCGTAGTTTCTCATTGTCACGCAAACACTGGCCCAGTCCTTGATTGGCTGCTCTTAATTCTGTTATATATTCACAGGCCTTTGATAAAATTCCTCCTTTGCTCTACAAAAGAAATTAATGGAAACAATGCTACTACATATACATTTTTATCACTTAGAATTTGTGTTTCATTTTAATACCTGAGTTTCATAGTTTGCCTTGCCTTCTCCAGTGCCACTACCACTACCATTTGCACCTGTATTGCATTCAGGAATAATTTTCCCTAACTTTGCAATCCAATTATTTATTTTATCTCTTCGTCGACGTTCAACTTCATTATGAGTAGCTCTCCTCCTGTCATCCCTCTAAAATATAAATTGAAAATCAAATAAATTAGAAATTAAACATTAAATATACACCTAAATTGAAACTATAGGAACTCCCTGAAAAGTGTGGTTATACCTTCTTCAATACAGTAGTACAATTTCTTGGTGTTTCTATTTGTAGGGTAGTAGTCCTAGGAACCAATGATCTAGAGGTTTGCGCAGTTGTGAAGACATCATTAGCATTTCCAATAACATAAAACTGGCCATTTAATGGGGATGTTAGGACCTGTACAGTGTTATTTCCAGGTTGAGCAACTGGTAATTCTATTTCACTGCCAGCAGTAGTGCCATTCACTTGGACCACTCTATATGCAAGAGCTTCTGGATAACGCATTCCATCTTCTCCAACAGTTTCTCCTATAAAAAATTCTTCAATTTTATCTGTTGCACATTGATAATTATCAGTGAATAAAATTGATCTTTGAACGTATTGTAACATGATGATTATCAATTTCTGACATATGAATATACAGTTCCTGAATTTTTGATACATGTATATTTACCTTCGCAGTCGACGATTTCCGCTTCCTCAATAACAATTCCTGTGCCGCCGTCATCCTTCGCGTTAACAGTGCTGTAAAACAAGCGTAGGTACGTTGAAGAATGGATATGTAACTTATCTATAGAGTTACATCTATGCCTATTACTTCCACGACCGTTGTCCTAAGTCTTGTAAGTGCGCACTGTGCACTACGTGATGACCTTGAGGAGACCTCGAGCGAAACAGGAGGGATAGGTGTTCGCATTATCAGCCAGTCGATATTTAACATAAACACTACCTGACATCCTGCTGTTCAAGGTGCTGCTCCAATATATCCATTTTTTTCTACCAAAAACGTTTGAATTTGTCAAAATTCACGTGAGCTGGTCACGGGACACGGCAACGAGGTCATGTGGTGCACAAGATGGCGATCCCTGATTACAGCGCCACCTTTCGCTGTTCAGACTTAAATTTTCAATTTACCGAAGTATACCGATTACTGATAATTAGGATTTTCAATAAACAATCAAGTATGCAATTGCTTTATAAACATGAACTTTCTAATGTCAGAAATAGAATTTCTTATATAAATTGTAATTTTAATAGGAATATTAAATTGCAATTAAAATCAGAATATGAAAAATTGTAGAATATTGTTAAGTGAAAATAAAATAAAACAAAAAAGCTGAATGTAAAACAAATGTAATTATTGAAATTTCTATTTATTACATCATCAACATACACCACCTACGTAAAAAGCATCTGACTAATCTATACCTACTTCTAACGTTATGCAATTTATACTTTGGAGCAACATCCCCACCATTAATATGAATTATGGTGAGGATGAATCAACTTGTCAGTCCCTTGCAATTAAAAAGGGAAAGTAGACAACTACTTTTGTTTAAATAATTATTAATAATATTGTAGTAATTTAAAAAATTTGAAATAATTTCAAAGAATGTCAAAATATAAAATAAAGTATGACAGGAAATAGTTCTTAGAATTTAGTTTTACCCTGAAGAATTATATCAAACAATCATTTATCTTCTGTGGTGAAATAAATTTAATAAATAGAAACGAAATCTATGAATTCATTCGTACCTCATTGTATGACTAATAAGGATGACAATGAGTATAGACAATAAATCT